CGCCTCAGGACCGAGGAGCGGTACATGATGCAGTTCCTGGACCTCGTCAAACTACACCAGGGTATATGCCCCAACGTGCGGGCGATCGGCGAGCATGTCGAGTACGAGGCGGACGGCTGGATTAGTGCTTCTCTCGTTACGCGCGAGATTAACAGGCTATGCAGACAGTTCGCCGAGTCCTTCCGCAATGTCAAGGAGCAGGATACGCCCTATGTCTCGCGAGCAATCCGCCTCGCGGCCAAGACCGTCATCATCAACTCGATCGGAGCCGAGCGCGGCAGGTTCAGCCAGTCCGAGATCAAGAACGAAGTCAGGTTCAAGACTCTCGGCGATTTCGAATTCGAGAAGCATGGTCGAAACTTCGATGTTGTCAAGTTTGTGGTGGAAGAGGAGCCCATCAGTTTCCATCACGCTCTCCACTACACCCTCTCGTGGCTGATCGAATGCGGCAAAACGATGCCCGTCGAACAGCTCAGGGCGCTGCTTAGCTTCACGACCCAGGAGCTCATGATGAAGCCGCGTTCCATGGGCAAGAAGACGATGCCGCGAGACGACGAGTACGGCCCAGAAGACTACCTGATGGCCGTGTTTGACTTCCCGCTCCGCGTGTGCGCCTGGCTTGCCCAGATGAAAGCGGGCATGTGGGTTAGAAATGGCCTCAGTCTTCGCCACCAGGCTGGCACTTACCGTGGTGTCGGGCAGAGGGATGTCTCGCATCACCGCGACATCTTCTTGCTGCAGACGGCCCTGGTGGTCTGCGACCCCAGCCGCGTGCTCGCCTCTATCGTCGACCGCTTCGGCATGGAGAAGTGGTCCAGGGGCTTTTTTGAGCAAAAGTCCAAGGCTCAAGATGACATCCAACACCTGGATGTGGTCGAGGATATGATACACCTCCTCATCGTCCTCCTTAGCGACAGAACTTCGCTCATCCCCGCCGAGGATGCCCGAGGTGCTTCCCACGTTGCGTCTATGCGCCGCGACGTCACGCACGTCCTCTGTTTCAAACCTCTGTCGTTCTCAGATATCTGCTTGAAGCTCCCCGATAAGTTCCAAGAGCAGGAAGACTTCCACAAGATACTGGACGAGATGACAATCTTCAAGTCACCAGAAGGCCTGACCGACGTTGGCACTTTCGAGCTCAAGCCGGAGTACATTGAGAATGTCGACCCCTATATCGCCCACTACAACAAGAACCAGCGCGAAGAGGCCGAGATGGCTTGGCGGAAGTGCGTGGCTAAGAAGACCGGGAAGGCGGTGGAAGACGTCGTCTACGAGCCCAAGCTACGGCCCATCCCGTCGGGGGTGTTCGCCGGGCTGAGCCAGTTCACAAGCACCGGCATGTTCGCTCAAATCATCCACTACTCGCTGCTCTACACCCTTGTGTACGCTCGCCTGACGCCCCAGGTCCCGGCCACCCGCGTCGAGACTTTCTTGCAGGTGGTGTTGCACCTAGTCCTCATCGCCATTGCCGAGGACAAGTCGGACGAGGACCAACCGCAGGCGTCTTTCATTGCTACTGCGCTCACCCAGCAAGCGATCACCGTCCTTCTACCCGAACCCCCACAAGCCAAGACGATCGTGGCCCTCCTGAACCTGATTGCTTCCAAGGACGAGTTCAAGGCCTGCCACCCGAAGGTAGCCACGATCCTTCGGAGGATGCAGCAGAAGAGGCCTAAATCCTTCGAGTTCAGCTACGAGCGTCTCGGGCTTTCCGTCGACCGCATGGGCACGGCCTCGCCCGCGGTCGGCAGTGGTGACGAAGAGCGGGAGCGTAAGAAGCGGGCGGCACTGGACCGCCAAGCCCGGGTCATGGCGCAGTTTCAGGCCCAGCAGAAGAGCTTCATGGAGAACCAAGGCGATATCAACTGGGGAGAGGTGGACGACCTCGAAGACGACGAGGACGTGCCGCCCATGGAAGAGCACCGTGACTTTTGGAAGTACCCGACAGGCACTTGCATTCTATGCCAGGAGGACACGGACGACCGACGGCTCTACGGCACTTTCTCCTACTTCACCGAGAGCAATATCCTCCGCCAGACGGACTTTCAAGATGCCGACTTTGTCAGAGAGGCATTTAATACCCCGGACAACCTCGATCGATCCGCAGAGGACATCCGGCCGTTTGGAGTTGCCCACGAGAACCGACAAGTCGTTCAGAAGGTAAACCAACGAGGCGAGACGTTTGAGACAGAGCGCCAGGTCATCGGCAAGGGGTTCCCTGCGGAGCTCTCTCGCCTCGGGCCAGTTGCGATTGGCTGCGGCCACATCATGCACTACCACTGCTTCGAGGCCTACTTTGAAGCTACCGTAAGGCGACACAACCAGCAGATTGCGCGGCATGCTCCAGAGAAGACTTCGAGGCTCGAGTTTGTGTGTCCACTCTGCAAAGCACTCGGGAATGCGTTCCTGCCCATCATCTGGAAGGGCCAGGAGGAGTCGTATCCGGGGCCCCTGGTGCCGGCCACTCCGTTCTCGTCCTTCCTCGACTCCCAGCTTCACTCGGCGTACTACACGCTCGGAGCCTCGCGCCCGCCGGACCAGGTACAAAACGCCTTCGCTGCCTACACGGCTCACCACATGATCAACAACCTCGCAGAAAAGTCGTCGCAGCTGCTGGATGACGCCTGGGTCGACGTGGGTGCCCAGTCCGTCTCGACGGGCACGCCGTTTAGCGAGACGTTCTCGATGGTTTCAGCCCCAGATCAAGGCGGCCGAGGGCCCACACCCGATGCCAGCACCCCTATGAGGGAACTCGTCAATGTCTATCGCCGACTTAGGGACACGCTGAGGGAGAACGGGATCACGTCCCGCCATCAGTTTGAGCCTCCCGAGCAGGATGCGAATGAACTATACGGCAGCGATGTCCTGGCGCAATCCGTGGGGTTCTCCATTTCCGCTGTGGAGATCCAACAGCGTGGCGTGGAAGCTGAGTACGGCATGACGTTCCTTGAGAAGATCCCGGACCAGGTCCTCACCCAGCTCCGGATCCTCAGCGAGACGGTGACCTCCTTCGTCGCCGTCGGGGGGTTGCGCGAGTCCGGTGAGAATAAGATCGACACCGAATACCGCAGGGACAGCGAACGCCAGCACTGCCAGTTGTTTATCACGCAGTATCTGGGCGAAGAGACGGAGCACACCCGGTTCCCGGCCAACAATTACGCTCCTCTGCTCAGCCAGGATCCCTTCATATTCCTCTGCGAATGCGTCTTTGGTGTCATTCCGGCGCAGGGGTATGACATCGCCCACATGGTCCGTTTGTGTTACCTGGCCGAGATTACACGAGTGGTCTACCACCTCGCCCGGAATATGCCCGCAGCGCTCTTTCTCCAGTTCTTGTCCCGTCATGGGGAGCTGGACCCGTCCACAGCCAACTTTGTGTCCTTTTGCGAGGAACTCATCAAGATTGACTTGGAGTGCGCCTCGGACCCCGAACCGGGTATTCAGCGACCCACGTTGGAAAACAAGGCCTTCGAGCAGCCGGGCCTGGATAAGTGGGAGTCGTGGTACATCCTCCTGCGCAAGTACGCGCTGACGTTCCTGCGCAAGTGTGTCATGCTCCTGCACGTCAAGTACGGCGTCAACTTCAACAGCCGCGTGAGCCCCAACCCGGAGCAGCGCGAGCTCGAGCGCCTCACCGAGGCCCTGCGCCTTCCTTCGCTCGACGAAATGCTCACGGCGCTCACGCCGGCGCAGGGCGTGCGGTACGGTTGGCCCACCGACACGCCGCGGCTCGTGGCTGGGTGGGTCAAGCACCAGGCGCTGTGGCCGTACAACGGCGACAATGAGTCGCTCCCTGGGTCGGCCGTGCTCGGCCACCCGGGCATCTTCGAGCTGGTGGGCCTGCCCAAGAACTACGACACGCTCATTGAGGAGTGCACGCGCCGGCGGTGCCCGACCAAGGGCAAGGACCTTACGGACCCCACCATCTGCCTGTTCTGCGGCGACATCTTCTGCGGCCAGGCCGTCTGCTGCGCCAAGGAGCTGAAGGACGGCCCGTACAAGGACTCCCAGATCGGCGGGTCGCAGCAGCATATGCAAAAGTAAGTTTTCTCTCCCTCTCTCTCTTTTCGTTCTCCGCCCCCCGGCCCGGACTGCGTCTAACACAACGCGACAGATGCCAGAAAAACATCGGCCTCTTCATCAACATCCGCAAGTGCTGCGTCTTCTACCTCTCGCGGCGCTCGGGCTCCTTCAGCCACGCGCCCTACATCGACAAGTACGGCGAGGTCGACATGGGCCTGCGCTACGGCCGCCAGCTGTTCCTCCACCAGAAGCGCTACGACTCGATGCTGCGCAGCCTGTGGCTCGGCCACGGCGTGCCCAGCTTCATTGCCCGCAAGCTCGAGGCCGATATCAATAATGGGGGGTGGGAGACTATCTGAGGTAGGCGGGGTTGCTGGCTGGCTTGCTGTGGCGGGTGCGGGGGGCCGTGGTGGATTGGGAGGTGGGAGTGTGCATATGGTGTGGTGTTTGGAAGCGGTTACAAATGAATTATTTGGCGGACGTTGGGTTTCGTCTTTTTTTGTTGGTGTTTTTTGTTGGTGTTTTTTGTTGGTGTTTTTTGTTGGTGTTTTTTGTTTTTGTTTTTTGACATGACGAGAATTCATGGCTACTTAGTTACCTGCTTACCTTTTCTATACGCTGATATACAGAATGGGAGATGGTGGTTTTAGGAAGGGGTTAATGGATACAAACAACCTCGGTACATTCTCACTATACATAAGCTTATGTTTCTATCGCTGTGTTGACCATGTGTGAGTGTGGGTGGGTGTGTGTGCGTGTTGAGTGTGTGTTTGTTGACTATGTGTCTGTTGAGTGTGCGAGTGTGTGGTACGGCGGAAAAGGAGAGACTCTCGAGACGTTCACACGGGAAGGGATCGATTCAAAGGTCGAACTGGGACTTCTTGGGTACTACTTGGCCATGATGAATAAGAAAAGGGGTCGTCAAAAAGTGTCAAAAAGTATCAAAAAGTAGATGCTGGTCTCAAGACCTCTTATCTCGATCCGCCCAGGGCTCGAACCTGGAACCTCTTGATTACCCGACCCACCCTGGGATATCCCAGAGAAGGCGGAGGAGTCGTAGTCAAACGCTCTACCATTGAGCCAGCGGACCTTGTTGCTTGTTGTTGAAGTAACGATGCGGGAGTTCATGGCTAAAGCTCCTATGGCACTACGTCGGGGTCCTGGAGCGCTTCAAGGGATGGGTCTTCACTTCTCCATGGGATTGACGAGTCATATGAGCAGTCAGACTCTATTAAGGGGCTGGTGGCTATGAAAGGACCGGTAGTGTAACGCACTACCTACCTAAGGACAGAGGGGGTGGGTATCTAGGGTGAAGCTGAGGGTGGTCTATCGACTAACACGGAGTCAGCCTTCTCTTCTCTTCTCCCGTTTTTCAGCTACCGCGAGGAACGTAACAAGAGCCGCACCAACCTTCCGCTAGTTATCATCATGCTAGCCTTCCGAGTGATGGTCGATAGGCTGTCTCAAGATGACGAGGACTAGCAATGGTGGGTGTTGTCGAGTAGCAGAACAAGCTCGTTCTCCTCCCCAACCCCCATTCCGTCTTCGGTCCCCATCCCCAGTCCCTCTCACCGCTCCTCTCCCCCTCTCATCACGCCCACCCAGTTACCTACGCACTAGCATCACCCGCAGCCAAGAGCGCCTCCCTCAGCCTAGCCAACGCCTCCACGACAGTCGCCTCGCGCACGCGCTCCCTCGAACCAGGAAACATAAACGGGCCCCATGCCCTCGCCCCCGCCGGCGAGGCAATACCAATGTACACAGTCCCCACGGGCTTCCCATCCTGCATATCCGGCCCGGCCACCCCCGTGGTACCCACCCCCCACGTCGCCAACCCCTCCCCCTCACCAGGCACAGCCGTAACCCTCCTCGCCCCCTCCGCCATCTGCACAGCAACATCCGCATGGATGACCCCCTCCCGCTCGATCAGGCCGGCGTCGACGCCGAGCAGGGAGCGCTTGAGCGCGGTGGCGTAGGTGACGACGCCGCCGCGGAAGGCGGCGCTGGCGCCGGGGACCGAGGTCAGGGCGGCCATGAGCCCGCCTGCTGTTAGCGACTCGGCCGCGCCGACGGTTGCGTTGGCGGCGCGGAGCAGGCGGATGACGTCGGCGGCGATGTCGAGGGCGGTTTCGGCGCTGCGTGGGGTGTGCTGTTGTTGTTGCTGGGTGGATGGGGTAGTAGTGGTGGTGGATGCCATGGTTTGTGATGTGATGTGGTGTGGTATGGTGTTGTTGTGTTTTGTTTCGTTCTTGTTGTTCTTTGTGGGTGATTGTTGTTGAACTAAGTGAAAGATTGAGAAGATGATGCGGGAGTCTGCTAAAAGTCAGAAAGTCAGAAGCCCAACCTTAAGTAGGCACGTAGCTACCTAGGTCCTGCCATGGCGGGTGAAGGGAGGGGGGGGGGGGGTGGTTGTACAACATTACATAGGTGACGCTGTTCGTGGCAAAACATGATGTTGGTGAAATGACTATTGCTTAAGCATTTTTCTTGGGATACAATGTTCGTTTGAACAGGCTACTTATTTCGGCTCTAACAGGGTGTTTACGAAATACTATTAAACATTGTGTTTTCCAAATATGAAAAACAGTCCCAGAGCTTCAAATACGTTTCACAAGTAAATATAGAGGTACAATAGTACTGAAAGTATATTGGGAGAACACTCTAGCCGAGCAAATTCAGTCTGTTTGAACGCCCCTCGACCCACTCACTCACCGAGCTCAGTAGAGGGTATCTCTAGCACATCAGCTTGTTGTCGTCAGCTTGCTCCCTGAATTAGGCAGCTCTCTGCCCGACTCTGCATAACAAGGCCGGGCTTGCATATAAGGCGGCCTAGCACACCTCCAATCCAACAAATCATCGTAGCAAGGCTCCCAGGCTGACCAATGATATCACCAAGATAGAGTCAGCCCCAGGTGGGTGCTGTTCCTGTGCAGGCAAGGCTCCACCTCACATGGCAATGCTCTCTATTACTGCTCGTCTCGGTGCCTAGTATGTAACCAACTACTCGCTCTATCGATACAAGTCCTCCCCCAGCCAGACACACAAGCCGATCCTCATGCCACATCGCCTCTCCTCCCAACAGAGCCCACCGGGGAGCTCACCGCAGGCTCCATGGACCGCTATGCATAGCCCGCACAACCGCAACATCACCCCCCACGCCTGAAATACCGCCCGCTGTTGTTGTTCTTGCTGCCGCCGTTCCTGTGCATATGCATGGCCCCCCTCATCAACATGATTCTCCTCATCCTCCCCGCTCCCATCCTCCCCATCCAACCCAGCAGCAAACCCGCCACCCACCTCACCCCCATTCCCTCCCCCATCCTCTTCCTCCTCCTCCTCCCTCATCCGCGTCCACTCATACCCCAAAAACGCCGTGCGCCTCCTCACCTCCATAGCCACCGCCCTCGTCTTGACATCCCTCAACAGCTTGTCCCGCGGCCGCCTGCGCTCTCTCTGCTGCCCCCCCCTACCACCCGACCCCTTCCCATCACCCAACCCCTTCCCAGTCACATCACCAGCACCAAACCTTCTCACAAACCCCCTCAGATACGAGCGCTCCGCCTCAGTAGTATCAGCCAGCGTCATCTGCGCCAGGTACGCCTCGAGCACGCGCAACTTGGTGTCGACGCCGTCCCGGTGCGGCTCCGGCGGCGGCGGCGTCGCCAGCACCGTCAGCGCCAGGCTCTGCAGCGTGTACCGCAGCGGGCGGAGGAAGGCGAGCTGCTCCTCGTGGTGGGCCTGCATGGGCGGCGTGGTGGGGGTTATGGGTTGGAAATGGGCCGGGATGGCGGGGGATTCGAGGGATGGGAGGAGCTGGAGGGGCGTGGCGCCGGGGGTGGTTGTTGTTGGTGGTGGTGGTGGTGAGTAGCAGTTTGTGTCGCTGGGGTTGTAGCTTTGGGGATAGCCGCCGCCGCCACCGCCGTGGTCGGGGTAAGGGTGGGCGTGCGGGATGGGGGGCAGGTAGCAGGCCGCGGCAGACCAGCCCGGGATGGAGGCAGCGGGAGGGGAGAAGAGCAGGTTGGGGCTCCGCTCGGCGGCACCGTCGTTGACATCGTTGACTTGGGCGTCGTCGTCTGCCGCTGCGCTCTCACTCCCGTCGCTCACCGACCCACCGTCGTCAAAGTAGTGCGTGTCGTCGACCGAGCGGAGCTTGGGAACCAGCGGCGGCTCCAGCTCGTGTAGACGCTCCCAGGGGATGTGGCGGAACCACTTGTGCGCCTTGATGTCTTCGGCGTCGTACGGAAACACGTAGCGGCCGGCAAAGTCGCGCATCTTAGTGCCAGCCCCGGACGATGAGGAGGACGACGACGACGTGATCAGGTCCTTCATGCGGTACCGCTCCGAGCAGAGCCGGTACTCCTTGTCGGCGATCAGAGAGAGCATCAGATGCTGGCACCGGCGGGACACACTCGGGCGCGGCGGGAAGCCAAATGTCTCGTGGTGCCGCAGGATGTTGTCCTTGGTCTGGCGCCGGCCGTCCTCGGATAGAAATGGGGTATGGCCGTAGATGCACTCGAACAGGATAACACCGACGCTCCACCAGTCACACCGCGCGTCGTACCTCCTCCCCTCGATCACCTCGGGGGCCATGTACTGGCTGGTCCCAACAACACTCCTGGCCGCGTGCCGGATCCCGCACCGGTTGCGCCAGCTCAGCAGCGGTTCGCCGTCATGCCCCATCTTCCTGTCGTGCCTTGCGATGGCGGCCGTGATACCGCTTGACCGCTTCTTGGCCTCGGGGTCGTGGCTCTCGTTCTTGTCATCATCGTCGCCGTCGACCCGGATGCCCAACTTCCGCACCAGGCTCTACCGGTGGCTGTTGTAGTAGGTCGCGTCGTGGGACCAGTGCCCGTCAAAGGCTAGGCCGAAGTCGCTGATCTTGAGATGGCCCGAGGCCGAGACGAGGAAGTTGTCGGGCTTGATATCGCGGTGGATGCACTTGAGTGAGTGTGCCGCCTCGACGCACAGGACGATCTCGGCGACGTAGAAGCGCGCCACCGACTCGTGCAGAACGTTCTCGCGGATCAGGAGACTCAGGAAGTCGCCGCCTGGCATGTATTCCATCACCAGATACAGATTCACCAGGTCCTGGAAGCTGGCCACGAGGGGCACGATCCTAAAACGGTCATCAATCCACTGCTCGGGGGGTTGCCACTGGTAGTAGCACATATAAACTTACCACCGCGACCCCTCGCTCGCCACCAGGATATCCCTCTCGGCCCTCAAATGCCCCTCTTGACTCGTCCTCAGCATCTTGCTCTTCCGGATAACCTTCATCGCGTATACCCTGCCCGCCCGCCCGCGCTCCCTCACCAGCCTCACGACCCCAAAGCTTCCCTTTCCCAGCACGCTCAGCGTCTCGTATCTCTGGCAGCCCAACAACCCTCCCCCCGCCGCACCCATTCCATTCCCTTGCCCATTTCCATTCCCACCCCTATCCCCCTTCCCCCCCACACCCTTCCCATCCCCATTCCCATTTCCCCCGCCCCTCCCATCCCCTCCTCCCGCAGAACCAGAACCAGACCCAGAACCAACCCCCTTCCCAAACCCCCCACCCACACTAACCAATCCCAACCCCCCCGCCTTCACAACCCTCATCTCCCTCAAATACCCACTCTCCCTCCGCCAAAACCTCGCCCTCTCCCTTGCCGCCGCCGCCGCCGCCGCACCACCACCACCATTCCCATTCCCATTCCCATTCCCATTCCCATTCCCATTCCCATTCCCATTCCCATTCCCATTCCCACTCCCACCCCCACCCCCATTACCCCCAACCCGGTTCCGATTAAACAACTCCGTCTCCAGCATCTGCTGCCGCATCTGCCGCGGCGACGGGCCCGGGCCCAGCAGCCTGCCAAAGTGGGTTTCTAGAAAGACCTTGGCGGCGGCGGCCCGTTCGGCGGTGGCTATGCTTGGGGTTGGGGTTGGGATTGGGATTGGGTTGTTGTTAGTTGAGGTGGGTGTTGAGGTGGGAATGGAGGTGGGAGTGGAGGTGGGAGTTGAGGTGGGAGTGGAGGTGGGAGTCGAGGTGGGAGTTGGGGGGGCGATTGGGGGGGCGATTGGGGCGCGGTAGGGGTGGAGGAGGTGGCT